GGGGGGGGTCCCAACAAGGGAAGGGCCCTGCTTGCAGCCCAACAGGGGCCTTGCTTGCAGCCCCCAGATTTTGCCGCAGAAACGCCAGGGGTGCCTGTGCGGAGCTGACCCCCCGGCAGCCTCGGCCAAGCAGGGTCCTGCTCACATCCCACCGATCGGTAGGAAACAAAGCTAGAGGAAGGGTTCAGGCTCAGATGGTGGTGGGAACACGTGCAGTCCTTCCTCGGGCTGCTGCCCTGAATCCTGGCCCGAGGGCACCGTGCCCAAGGGCTGGCGCTGCCTGGGGTCTCAGTGCTGCTGTCAGGATGCTCAGAGCAGGGGCTGGGATGGGGATGGGGCTCCTCGCCTGGCGTTCTGCCGCGGCCAATCACCACTGTGTCTTGTTAGGAGCCTGCTTCTGAACAAAAATATTCCCCAGTGCTGCCACAAGGGTTAACCCCGCTTTCCCTCTCTTTCCGTGGCCAACTCAAATTGGTGGCTGGTCGGGGATAAACTCGTTAGCGGCTGCGGGGCGATGCCCCTGGGGACAGAACAGCCCAGGAAACGGAGCTGGGAGCTGCGGGAGCCGAGCCGGTCCGGTGGGTGCTCCCCCCGCCCTGCGTGAGCCTGGCACAGGGTGTCATGGAGGGGAGCAGCTCCAGGGGGCTGTTGGGGACAGGGTGGGTTTGTCACGGAGAGTCCAGGTGCTGGTAAGGAAGCTGTGCCTGCAGGGGAAGAGGTTGCAAAGCAGTTTGGGACAGGGCTGCCCCCAGGGCGCTCTGAGGGGCCAGCCCAGCCCCGACCCCACAGCACAGTGGGCTCCAAAACGGACCCCAACACTTGACTCCTCCTCAGACTCAGTGGTCAGGGTTGGCAACGTGGGTGCACATAGGGTCCTCAGCAGTGGCTGTCAGGGCACCCATGCTGTGCCAACAGCACAGCCCCAAGCCCTGTGGCAAGGTCTGGGGAAGCCCAGTGATCCCCTCCTGATCTGCTGGGCTGGTGGCCTCCAGCCAACCGTCTTGGGGCTGGTCCTGTTGTTGGTAGCCAGGAATTGTTTGCTGCCTCTGCTGTTGTGCCACAGGCCCTGTTTCTGGTGGCCACCTCCTGGTACTGCTGGAGAAGATGGGTTCCTTATGCCTGAGCATTCATTCACTCTGTTGATCGACAGCCTGTGGTCTGGCTGAGCAACCCCAATTGTTCCCAGTGTGCCTGGACAAAGAAGTGCCTAGAGAGATGGCAGGGCTTAGGAGAAGAGGGCGTTAGGAATATTTCCACTGCCTTTGTCACCACCAGTTTAAAGCTGCTCTTGGGGCTGTTGCCTGTTGGTTCTTCTCCCCAGCTTCACTCACCTGCCAGGGCTCATTGCCATTTGTTGGCCACCCCCAAGGTTTGTTGCCCTATTTTGCAGACAGGAAAGCTGGGACAAGGATCAAGCCTGAGCTTTTAAAGCCCTTGGCACAGAGCAGCTCCCAGCGAGGTCTGCAGAAGCGGGGGGTTCCTGCAGGAGCTCCGTGTTCCCGTGTGCCCTGCTCAAGGTCAGGCAGGGCAGGGAGCTCCGGCTCCTTCCTTCCCTGCCGGCCCGGGGCTCCAGGCGGGAGCGGAAGCGGATCCCGCCTCTGCTCCAACACCCGGAG